CCTAGTATTCAGAACATTATACTTCCGAATAGATTTAGAATTTTTTTTTTATTCTGAATACTGTAATGTACCACTGAATCGACCCATAGCTGAGCCTCCAGTGAGTTTTCAGAGGCAGTTAATTGTACTGTACTCACAGAGTAGCTGGTGGATTTGAACTATGTGCCTTCAGGATTGCAGCATGGCTTCTTACCACAACCACCCTTTTTTTCTCACTTTTTCATTCTCATCAGAGTTGATCATATGATTCAAAGTGGCTATGCAGATTCATTTCAGCTCTCCAATGTCTATTGTTACTGTTGTTAGGTGCCATCCAGTTGAATATGACCCATAGTAACTCTAAGAAGAACAGATGTGAACCCTATCCTATTCTCTGCCCTCCTCACACGTCCCAAGCCTACTGCAGAAGTCATGATGTCAATCCATCCAGTCAAGGGTCTTCCTCTTCATCGACCCTATATCTTTCCAAGCATCATGTCCCTCTCTAAGGTCAGCCCCTCCTAGCAACATGCCCAACATATACGATGCAAAGCCTCATTATCCTTGCCTCCAAAGAGCACTCTGGCCACACTCTCTCCTAGACATACTTATTTATTCTTTTGACCCATCATGGGATGTTTAGTGCACTTCTCCAACACTACAGCTCAAAGGCATCACTTCTTCCGTCATCCTTATTGTCAAGTTTTCAGATGAATAGCAAATGATCAGAAAGATCATGGCCTGAATCAGGCATACCTTATTCTTTAAACTGACATCATTACTCCTCAATAATTTGGAGAGGTCTTTAACTACAGACTTTCCCAGTGTAATATGTCTCCTGATTCCCTGACTGCTAGTAGGATGTTAATTATGGATCCAATTAAGATGAAGTTGTTGAGTTTCAATCTCTTCTCCATCTATCATGATGTTACCAATCAGTCTAGTAGTAAGAAACTTTTTTCTTGACACTGAGTACAATTCATACCAAAGGCTTTACTCCTTGATCTTCTGCAATAACTGCTTCAAGTCTTCCTCTCTTTCAGCCAGTTGTTTCATCTGCCCAATGCAGGTTATTGATGAGTGTCCCTGCTATCTTGATTCCACATTCTTCTTCATAGTGTCCAGCTTCTTGAATAATTTGTTCAGCATACAGATTGAATAGGTATGGATAGAGAATACAAGCCTGATGCATTACCTTAATTTTAAATGTCTGTTATGTCAATATTTAAGTGTTCCACTTCTTTTTTTTTCTTTTTAAATTTAGGTTGTTTATTTTTCATTTCAATGAACATCTCCACTTCTTTTTTAACAATGTCCAAATGTCCCACATTCATACTTAGCATTCTACATTTCAATTACTAGTGGCATTTTACAACTATTCATCCTCATTTCTGTCCTTCCCAATATAAGGGCTCTGCCTCCAGTACTATTAACACAACACCTATCACTACTACAAGATGTGTGCTCCTGGGAGGCTGTGGGAGAAGACAGCTATCACTCTGGAGAGGGCATAGAGGACAGCAACACAGAAGAGCAGAGCTTTAGAAAAACAAGAGGGTCAGAGGGAATGAAAATGATGGTCAGTAGTGAGGTATGACAAGATAACAGAAGAGTTTTGGGGAGTTTGGAAGTAGGGGCACATCTTTTTATCTCAAGTGTTAAAAGATTTCAGAATGAAATACCATGGTGCTCATATGCTCCCACTGTGCTGAGTATTTCACTGGAAAGTAAATAATCTTTGGTTCTTGTTCTTTTGTGTGATTTATTTTGTCAATGACCCTACCTGTTTTTTTTTCTGCTCTCTCAAATTCCATTACTTGGAAGTTGATCCTCTTAAACCATGTCTTTAATGATCTTGATCTTTATTTTCCACATGCTTTCCTTTTGGTTACTTTTTTTAAAATCGTGATTTTTAATGAAGGTTTACAAATATAATGAGTTTTCATTCATTCATTCATTGTTGCTGATGTCCCTCACTTCTCGTCTTTCCCTTCTACCAGTCCACTTCCTAATGTACCTCTTGTTCCAGATTCTTGTCATTTGGCTACATTTTTTAATTATTTCCTCAATCCTATTTTCCAACTTTAATGATGCTGTTTTAATTTCTACTATCCTATTTCAATTTAAGGATCTGTACTTGTGTTCCACAAATGTTTCTTTCTCTTCAAATCGCATTATGTTCCTTTCTTGTGGATGCAACTTTTTCTTTTCTCTCTCTGAAGGTATCACTGATTGCTTTTGTTTATTTATAGTTTTCATCTTGTGTCTAGCATTCAAGGAGCACAAGTAGTGCAGGGCATAAAGCAACATGGCTACTAACCACAAAATTGACAGCTCAAATCCACCAACTCTTCTGTGGAAAAAAAATGTGGCAGTCTACTTCCATGAAGACTTACAAGTTTTATGGGGCAGTTCTACTCCATTTAACTGGGTAAGTATGAACTGAAATCAGCTTGATGGCAAAGGGTACAATCTCTGTATCTTCCCAGGTGCTTTTTCCTGTATGTTTATTGTGCTTTCCATCCTCCCCTACTAGAATCTTTCTAGATAGCAGATTATCCTTGGTTGTATGTTCATGATTGGGATTAAGAGATTTTAAAGGCTGCCTCACAGCTCTAGCTATCAAAGGACTTATCTGCTTTGAGGTTCACAGATGGGATGACCCGGTCCAATCCTTAAATATGAGATCCTTTTCAAAGGGCTGGATAGACTCTTCAGTAGGTAAACAGAGTGCCCTTCTCATTTTTTGTCTAAATTAAAGTTCAACTGCTAAGAGTTTTGATTACCAAAAGAGCAAAGCAGACTAGCTGGTCTTAGCAACACACAGACACTTGGTCGTTTTCATCACTTCCACATGTTTCTGGCAAAAGCTACTGTGTCACTGCATTAACTATCTGCAAAGTGAAAACTACAGGATTTACCTAGGTGTGGGCAGGGGAACGTGGTCCCTCACAGCTCTAGCCGCTTCTCAAATAGATTTTAACCTTGTTAAGTCTAATGACAGAGATTTTGCACAGAGCACAACTGTTGCGTAGAGTGTCTTGGGCTGTTTTAAGATCCTCTTGAAGATGTCCTGGTCTTTTTCTTCTGTGGAGAGGTTGGATGGTTTAAATATGTGGAAATTTTTATTAGGAGTTTAGTGCATAAAGACTGTACTTCTCGTGCTCCTTGATGTCAGGGCAGTCTCTTTTTAAGAGAGTATGCCACTTCTTTCACTCCCAGTTCTGGAGATCCCTGGTTTTGCCAGTTCCTGGTCTTTTCAAAGCAATCCTGGCGGCAAGAGTGGGCTGCTAACCAAGAGTTGGCAGTCTGAATCCACTGGATGTTCCCCTAGAGAAAGACAGAAAGCCTGCTCCTGTAAAGATTTACCCACTTGGAAATCTGATAAACATCTGCTAAGACTCAGTACCAACTTTCTGAGTCCTTTTTAGGTTATGCACACACTCACTGATGCTGGGTCAGCACCAACTCAAAGCCGACTTTCCAGAGGGTTTTCAGAGGCTCTAAATTGTACAGGAGGAGACTGTGCATCTTTCTACAGAGGAGTAACTAGTGGATCCAAACCACCTCCTTTGGTTTGACAGTACAACTCCTTAACCACTAGACCATCAGTGCTCCTTTTGCAGATACCGCAAATTTAAATGAGAATGGTTCTTAAGGTTCCCCTAATTAGGCTTTCAGTTTTCTCACAGATAAGGCAGCAATCTTTTGCTTATCTGCTTTCTATCTTCCAAAGATTTACTTTTGGGGTCTTTTCTCATCTCCTTCTAAGGAGAAAGGTCCATCCTTTGGGGAGGTAATTTTCTAATAAATCTATTGTTATAATGCATCCTCAAAACAAAAATGAAAGATTTTACCTTTGTGTCCTCCTTTATTATTCAGACAAAAACAAAAACACTTTTTCCCTGACAACCTGCAAGCTTTTGAGGATAGACATTAAGAGGTATATATTCTACAGGGAGCTCTGATGACCCTAGTGAGTAAAAAACTGCACTGCCAAGCCAAAGACAGGTGGTTCAAATAGACAAAATGCCACACAGGAGAAAGATGAGACGTTTCCTCCTGTTTGATCTATAGTCTCTGGAAATCCACTATGAATCGGTGCCGATTTATGGTACAGAACTACAACAACGTGAATAATCGACTCTGTTCACTAATAAGTTTTGCCTTGCAATTTTTATCAATAAGGTTATAATGCACTGACTTAGGGGTGAAAGAGATCTTTTATAAAGCATTCACAAGTGAGCAAAGATATTGGATTCTAGGCAGCACGTTACACAGATGAATACGTTTTATGAACCGTGGACTCAGTAATTTAAATTAAATCTGATTTAGCCTTCTACTGTGCAGCTATCAGCTAAACTGAGCCACAGATACTACTCTCTGGAAAGTGACTATTGTCTCTCATTTTCCAAAACTTAAATTTTCTTCTGCACACAGTGCACTCTGACTACGACCTATCAATCTAGAGATTTATATGGCTACTAAATATAAGCCTTAAAACATTTGGAAAAGTACTTACAATTTATACTAGATGAATAAAAATGTATATGCTAATATATCCAGCTAGGCCAAGCTGAAGAGCCAATTATAAAGTGTTTGAAGATTAAAGAACTAAACTCTCAAAAGAAAGAACTCAGGGTAGTATGCAACAGTTGCTTATAAATTAGTATCACATTGGCTTGTGGATTATAAATACTCTTTAACTTATACTTGGTAAGGTTCTACTGAACAAATTATTTTAGATGTTAGTGAAGAAATAGAAGAAGATCCTCAGTGAGATAGCCCTCCTCAGTGGCTGCATCCACACATCCACACATCGTGGATCCACACATCGTGGGGGACCACAGGGATGGCTTAGGGTTTTTATCTGTCATTAACAAGGTAGCTATGAGTTGAGTCAAGCCAAAGACAACAAAAAGGCGAGATCAAATTCTGTTACCAGAATTACCGTATTTGACTGCCAACAAAACTGGGTAAGTGTTTTGTTTCTACTGTAAGGTGTTATTGAGTCTACTTACCCATCGGTGGTTGGCTTTTTCCGGAGGATACTTGGTCGAGGTGATGAGCCCTGCGCTGGAGCACTGGTACTGGCACTCTGACTGTGGGTCTGCACCACAGTGGTGGCTGCAGGAGTAGCACTGAATGTGTTGCTAAGAGGGTTGGCTACAATTGTGGCTCCATCTGCCAAAACCACTGCTGAAGGAAGGGGATGGTTCAAGAAAGAAGAATGAAGACAGGAAAATGGAAAGAATGTCGCTCTTATAAAAAAAATATTTAAAGGAAATATTTAAAATGACCACTGTCATTGGAATATCTCTGATCAAAATGATTCACTTTCATGACACAGAATCTTCCTATCCATGAAAAGGAAATATTTTCCTATTTAACTAGATCTTTTATTGTTTCTTATAGTAGTGTTTTATAGTTTTACTTAGATGGGCCTTTTGCATCTCTACTTATGTATTTTACTTATATACTTTACTAAGTATTTTATCTTGTGGCTAACTACTGTAAATGGGATTGCTTGTCTATTTCTTTCCCCATGTTTTCTTTGTTGCTGTAGAAAATTCCAACTGAGTTTTTAAGTGAGTAGTATTAAAGAAATAGGTAGAGCATTTTCAATTAGGTCATTGTAAGTTGTCCTTTTGATCAACTGCATTTTGTTAATAGTCATTTGGTAACTTGGATTAGTAGTTTTCTTGGACTAGGAAAACTTGGATTAAACAGGAACATTCAACCACCAAGCAATCAAAACAACTAGTTAGAAATTACTCTCTAATTTTTAAGATCAATATTCTGGCTATTTTTAAAATTAAAAGACATTTCAAATTAGTAATCTTAAGCATAAAGCTTTACTCCTTTTCTTCAATTATCCATTCCTCTTATATTTCTTTATAAGCACTAACACCATTACTAGCTAACCTTAGTATAACTCTACAGCTTTACATCTAATTGTTAAAAAAGGGAACTAAGCCCTAGAAAAACTCTGAGATGACAAAAATATCAAGTTGGCAGAACTTCCACACCACTCTCCAAGTAATTACCTGACGTTTTTCCTTCAGGTGGAGGCTGTTGAGTCCCCAAGGATGCAGACTGCAGTCCCTGTGTGTTAATTGGGGTTGCTGAGTGAATTCCCTGTGTTCCAATAGGGGCTGGCTGTATCCCCTGTGTTCCAATAGGGGCTGGCTGAATGCCCTGTGCACTGATGGGTGCTGGTTGGATCCCTTGGATATGTCGCGCATGAGAAGCATCCACTGTCATAAGCTGCATGGGATTGAGGTGTACTGTAGAAGCCACCCCAACACCAGTCTGAGCTGTGATGGCTGAGTTTGGAGCCTGAGCTGAAACTATTAAAAAAAAAAGGTGTATAAAGTGATTACGCTTTAGAGAAGAAGGTTACTCCTGATAAAAACTAGGAATAAAATCTAGGTATTTATTCACTTTTAAAAAAGGGTTTTAACAAATTAAATGAGATTGAATTTGTTTACCCTACAATCATATCCTACAAACTTAACACCTCTCCAAAGTGCTACAGAACAACGATGTCAGTCTAGAGACTAACCCATACCTGATCCAGGCCATAGCCATCACAATTACTTACTTGCTATGCATCAGAGAGCTGGACAATGATTAAAGATGACAGAAGAAGAGTTGTGGTGTTGGAGAAGAGTATTAAACATACCAGAGAGCAGCAAGTATTAAACATACCATAGAGCAGCAAGAGAACAAATAAGCCTGTCTTAGAGAAGGTAAAACTAAGTATCTCCTAGGAGTCTAGGATTTTGAAGCACTGTCTCATAGTTTGGTAACGTGGTCAAGAGGGACCAGTCCTTGGAGAAAGACATCATGTTCGGAAGAGTGGAGGGACAGTGCCGGAGAGGAAGACAACAAATGAGATGGATTGACATGGTAACTGGGGCCATGGGTTTTAAGTTTGTTGGAGTCTGTGAGAATGGCTCAGGATAGGGCAGGGTTAAGGGCTATAATACTAATAGGGTTGCTATGAGTCGTTTTTTCCCCACAAAAAATTTAACAAGTGTCTCTTTGCAGATTATTCAAGTTAGATTTAAACAAAAAGAATATAATTAACTACTAAATTCCAAAAATTACCTAGGCACTGTGCTTGATATTTAATGTAAAATTTTGAAAATGCATTTACAGCCAGCAGGGAAAGAATCTTTGCTTTAACTGATCAAACTATAACATAGGCACTTGTGAAAATTTCCTATCAAATTGCATCCATCCAATGGCAGGGAGAACAACCATCAATTCTTTTTAAACAATACCACAATATTTAAAACCCTGTTAGCAAGAGTGTTCCCAGGAAGCAACAAACAGAAAGGATTTCTAATTATTCACGAGAAGAAAGAAATACAAAAAACTTTTTTAAATGCACTGCAGCATCCATGAATGAAAGGAAACTTGTTCAGGGAAATGAAAATGTCAATCTCTCAGACGCTCCAAACCAACCAGTGTCTTCGAGTCAGTTCTGCCTAACAACATCATGACTGCGAATCTTTATGAGAAGAGACTACACATGTTCCTCCCATCAAACAGCTATTGAACTGCCACTCTCGACTTTTAGTATGTGATCTCCTTCCATGGAATTTACAGTCTCTAAAAACCTGCTAGAGCATTATCTAGGAGTCAGTTGTGACTCCAAAGCAATGAGTTTTAATGAAAATTTTTCATCAGAAACATTTGATCTTAACTTTTATCTCAGTGGTATCCACTTCCTAAACAACATGCCTCTGGAAACTATTATGAACTGATAAATGACCATACAGAAAGGCTTCAGGCCTTTTATCCATAAGGTCTCTATGCATCGCGCTTGATTTGATGGCAATCTACAACAACAACAGCAAGCAGCCTGGTCTGTAAAAGGCTATGTCCTACTTTGAACCTCTGTCAGTTCATATCCATCAGCTGCTCCAGGAGAGTAAGATAGGCATGTATTCACAGCCTTGGAAATTCAATGGACAGTAAGCAAGGCTTCACTTTCTACTCTAGAGCAATATATTTATTTTGAACAACAGAACTAATCTCACACTGCCAGGTTCCAAATTTATTTTTTATATTTTGCAATTTTAATTAAACTAAAAATTTATTTCGTCAGTTTTACTAGCCTTGTTTCAACTGCCCTGTGATAATATGCAACTCCTGGTTTCAAATGTAGAAGACAATTCAGCTATAGAAGGATAATGCCTCTAACACAGACAACCTTGCCTTTTTCTGAGATTGTATTCACTTTTTTTAAATATTGGGTTGCATACAAAATTTGTATACAATGTGATAACCTCACTTTTTGATGCTTAAATTTAGTATTAGGTCCACAAGAAGAGCCCTACACTAAGAAAGTAACATCATTTACATGCATAATGGTTAGTGCTGAACATAATCTGACAAAACAGAAATGAAAATAAAAAGCTTCAACTATCCTACCAAAAAACTCCTCAACAGAAGTTGTTGTTTTCAGGTGCAACAGAGTCTACAACAACTTCTAGTGACTCTATGAATAACAGATTGGAACCTTTCCCTCATCTGTACTATCTCATGAGCCCACTGCTGCAGTTTCTGTGTCAATCCATCTTGGTGAGGGTCATCTTCTCTTTCGCTGACTCTCCACATTTTCCAGCATGATGTCTTTTTTCAAGAACTAGTGTCTACTGACAACATGCCAAGATTATGTGAGATGGAGAGAAAAAAAACCCAAAGCAAAAACTATTAGAGGAGCTCTGATGGCCTAAGTCCACAGGGAGTTGGTACTGCTAAGCCAAAGGCAGCATCTCTCTGGCAGCTGAAATCCACCAGTAGCTGTGTGGGATAAAGACAGGTATTATTCTGCTCTGTGATATACAGCCTCTCAAAACACATTATAAGTCATATGTGAGTCCACCCCAACTAGATGAAAATGAAGTGAAGCCCCAAAAGTACAACTTTATTGATAGTGATTATTCTTAACATTTCAATTTGTAATAAATATTATAATGTGATTATGCCTAGGTTAAGAGACAAGCTTATAATTAACAATTATATGTAACAACTTTTTATATGACAAAAGAAGCTGATTAAAGATTTGATGCCTTTATGTCTAAAAAATAGATACTGTCATACTAGAATAGTCACTGATTATAAAAATGAAAATGTTAAAAGTCATCTTAATAAAAGGGGGAATCATACCTGGATACTGCCGGATGGTGGACACTGAACTGGTGATGGGGGTGTAAGTATGTGCAGCAAGTGGGTATGCAGATGGTGGGTAAGTTGGCAAAAAGTACTGGAACTGAACTGGAACAGATGGTCTGTAAAGGAAACATAGGTAAAAAGAAGATAAATGGTCTAATTTCTTTTTCTTTGAGTGAAGATACAAATCATATTGAGTTTCCTTTCAATTATTTACACATTTTAAAAAAAACCTTAATTACAATTTATTGATGAAATTATTAACTACGATATCTAGTAACTTCAATCCTTTTTTGTAATCACTTCCTTTTCCTATTTTCTACTTTCTTCTTTAACTCCATTTAAAGCTACCCCCAGTTCAAGGGAGGGAGGCAGGGAGAAAAAAGGGGGGGGAACTATCCCCTGTTGTTATTGTTAGGGGCCATTAAGTACAACTCATAGAAACCCTAATAACAACAGATCTGAACTCCTACCCTGTACCATCCTCATCATCTCTGACCATCTTTTTTTTTTTTTCTATAATTATATTTTATTAATTTTCATAAACATTTACAGAGATTTTGGGCTTCCACTCATTCATTGTTGCACTATTCTCTCTACCCTCCTCCCAGTTTGTTCTTGTCCAAATGCCACAGTGCTTGTCAAAGCCAGTTCTGATTAATCTTCTTTGTCAGTGTATCCTTTGCCATTCCCTATCACTCCTCCCTGAGAGAGACTTCACCCTGAGTCATAAGGAAAAGGGGACGGCGTATTCTCTTAGCTACTTCCTGCTGAAAAGGGACGCTGTGGGTTTCAGGGTGAAGATCTTCTCTCACTATTCTAAAGGGCCCCTTTGGCAGTAGGAAACACATAGATTATTATGGAGATTGATTTTGGAATTCAGATGCACTCTTATTGATTGTGCTTGGCTGTACATGTACATATCCTTCAAGATGTATCATGGGGGTGTTGCAACCTAGAGGACACAAATTTGACTAACAAGTTATAAGTACATGAGTCCAAAAATTATGGAAAAGTAAAAGAAAAGATTCTTTCATTGTTTTACAAACCCTCCCCAAGGTCCCCTCCACCATGCAGCCCTCGCTCTAGTCTCCTGTGATGACAGAAATACCCAGTTACATCTCTCTTTTAGACGGTTCTCTCCCTCCTCTGCTTCAGTGCAGTATACATTATTGAACCCATCTTACTCACTGTCTCCCTAACCCCAAGGACAGTCCCATTCTACAACAGTGGCATCATGTAATATTTGTTCTTTTGTGACTGGGATATTTCACTCAGCATAATGTTCTCCAGAGTCAACCATTTTGAATAATATTGCATGAGTTCCTTGTTTTTTAATGCAGCATAGTATTCCATTGTGCGAATATACCACAGCTTCTCTAGCCATTCGTTTGTTGATGGGCACTTAGGTTGTTTCCAACTCCTTGCTATTGTGAACAAAGCTGCAATGAACATGGGTGTGCAATCTCTGACCATCTTGAGCCCACTGCTGCAATCATTGTTAACAATCCATCTTGTTGGAGTCTTCTTTCCTTCGCTGACCCTCCACATTTGCAAGTATGATGTCCCTTTCCAAGGAACGGCCTTACCTAGCATCATGTCCAAAGTAAGAATAACAAAGCTTTGTCATCTTTGCTTCCAAGGAGCAATTGTGTCTGCCCGTTCTCCAAGACACCCCTGATTGATCTTTTAACCATCCATTGTACTTTTCTCCAGGTCAATAACCTGTCAATTTATTATATTGGGGAATGATTTGCATGTTGCCAATTACTTTATGTATTAGGAGTGTATACTCCGGTGTGTTTATTATTTATTATTTGTTCGTATCAGGAGAGAGCTTGCCTGTCAGTCTCCTGTACTGGTGTAGCATGCAGAGCGCTGACACGATGGAAGCTGCGCCGCCAGTGTTCCAGAGATCAAAAGGGTCACCTGTAGTGGACAGGCTGTGACAGAGCTCTTACTAGGAAGATCTGCCACCTACTACTGAAACCCTGGGCATTATAAAACTGAAGAAAAAAAATGTTATCCCCTGTTGTTGTTGTTATGTGCCGTTGAGTCGCTTGCGACTCATAGCAACCCTATGTACAACAGCCCTAAACTCTGCTCTGTCCTGTGCCAATCGCACTGTCTCTGACACTCCCATAGTGATTACCCCTGTCACTGAATCAATCCACCTCATAGAGGGACTTCCCTTGCCTCCAAGGAGCAATCCAGTTTAACCCTCTCTAGGATGAATCTGTTTGTTTATCGAGCAGTCCATGGTACTCTCAATACTCTTTTCCAGCACCACAGCTCAAAGGCATCAATTCACCCTTCTTTCCTCCTTGGTCATTGTCCAACTCTCTGATACATAACAAGTAATTGCAAAGACCTATAATACTCTCTGTAACTACTATAATATTTTCTAAATTATGTCCCAAAGAAATAATACTAAAGAAGTCAGTGGATACTAGAACAATAACAACCAAAACGGACTCAAATACTTAGGAAGGAGCAGATGAATCACAGAGATGGCCAAATTTGACTTCTATTCACTTAATAAAGGAGAACTGTACCCACCAGTAATTTCCATAGCACCATACAAATGCTCCTGCACCTATTTTTACTTTACCAATCATTAGGTCTGATGTTTGTTAGAAGAGTCACGGAGTTTATTCACAGCTGTGGGGTATATTAAGGAAGGGGGTTGGAGAGTGGAGGAAGCAAAGAACGTCTCAAAATGCAAGTCCAGATTTAGTCCAGCAGTACCAAGCCAGATTAACAAGGCACACAATTCCTCAATTAGTCAAAGTCCAGGTTTAGTTCAATAGCACAAATGCAAGAAGCCTCTGGTTTTCTCAAGGGTCGATCAAACTTTATCTCAGAGAAGTTATAAGTGAGCTTTTCCTTCAATTAATCATCCAGGAAAAACGTTGACTGTAGCCTTTATCTCCAGAGGTTTTTTGATTATATTTTGCCACAGTGTCTTGACACTCTCTCTACCACATCTTTCACAGTGTTTTAATAGGCTCTCCAGTGTGGAAGGTGCTCTCTCCTACTGATCCCACAGCTGTTGATGATTTTCAAGACCATGTGTCTATGGTTAAGGTAGCTGGAGACCATGCCCTCTGATGGTGGCTAACACAATGGCCAGAAAAGCCAATTTTCAAGAATGCCAAATTTTCAAGGGTTCCAACACCCCTATCTAGTCTCTTTAATCAACCCATTTGAATGACACTAAGATCAAATTAATTTTACTAGAAATGTTATCGAATATAAGCAAACAATATCAGTACAGGAAAAGAAAACAAATACAACTAATTTAGTATAGTATCTTGATAGGAAAAATGGTTGAGAATATAATGAATTTCATTTCTCTATACTGAGACAAAAATCACCAAATATAGGGAGAACTGAGCATGGATGAAAATTAAACTGTCAGATCAAATAAAGCCTAATCTAGAATTAACATCACATTTGTTTTTCTTTTTTTAAAAAAATTTTTATTGTATTATTTTTATGTGTACCATCAAATCAGATCTGACTGGTACAGGAGGAGATTGCCCCCTCCTTCTCCAGCACAGCATCTGGTGGATTTGAACCACGTACCTCTGGGATTGCAGTGCAGTGTCTTGCCACTAGGCAACCAGAGCTCCGTAACGTCACGTTTTTTAATTAATTGTTGTTGTGTGCTATCGAGTCACTTGTGATTCATAGCGACCCTATATACAAGAGCCCTAAACCCTGCTCACTCTTGTGCCAACTTATTGCCTCTGATACACCTACTCCAATTGCCCCAGTGACTGAATCAATCCATCTCATCGAGTGTCTTCCTCTCCTGTGCTGTCCCTCCACCCTCCCAAGCATGAGGTTTCTCTCCAAGGACTGATTCCTCCTTGTAACATGTCCAAAGTATGTCAGACGAAGCTTCAAAGAGGAGCATGGTTTCACCTTCTCCAGGATAAATCTGTTTGTTCTTTGAGCAGTCCATGGTATAGTCAACACTTTTCTACAGCACCACAGTTCAAAGGCATTGATTCTCTATCATCCCTAGTCATTGTCCAGCTCTCTGATGCATAGCAAGCAACTGCAAAGATTAAGGCTTGGATCAGGCACATCTTAGTTTCCAGACTGACATCGTTGCTCTTCAGTACTTGGGAGAGGTTTCATAAAAAATAATTCCCCCATCATAAATGCTATCTACAAATACCAAAATAATGAAAATTTTGAACTGCCCACACAGGTCAGAATGGCTAACTATTTCTGCCTTTATTCAACCATTTATTAGAAACAATAAACAACAAATTGAAAAAGGAAAACAAAAAAAAAAAAAAAAAAGAAAAAGGAAAACAAGAGCAAGTATACTTTTTTCACAGAGCTTGAAAAAAATATTGGAAGGCTTGTAGTAATCTTAATAAACTGAGCAAGTCAAATATATCAGTACTACTCTTTTTTTCTGTTTGGGTTTTTTGGGGTTTTTTTTGTTTTGTTTTGTTTAATTTTGTGTGTGTGTACAGTCAAATCAGATCTGACTGGTACAGGAGGAGATTGCCCCTCATTCTCCAGCAGAGAGCATCTGGTGAATTCGAACTGCATACCTCTGGGATTGAAGTGAAGCTTCTTCGGTACTATAATTCTAACAGCATGTGATTACTGTCTCTATGTTACAATATTGTTATTTATATAAGATTTCCAATAATCAAAATCAACTCTGATTTGGAGTTATCTAAACTAGAAAGCAGAACTTCACTTTTGTCTAGTTCTTAGTTTTAGTTGTAATGCTGTAAATCTTTCTAAGTAAACTGTGTCACTTTTCTAAATCTTAAGTGACTGGTGGGTCTGAACTACTCATCTTTTAGTTAATAGCCTAATATTTATTCCACTACAAGGGCTCCTAAAAAGCTCTAAAACAGAAAAGCGAAACTTGCTGTTGAAATAAATTTCAACTACAATACAATGTAAACATAACTTTGTGGTGCTTACTTTAAAAAAACCTTCTTCTCCCCTTAAACTTTTGACCTTTTCTTGTGAATTGGTGAAGAGTTAAAAGCAAATCCATTTTCCATGCAAAAATTCATGGAATTTACTTTATATTATTAATTGTAAACCCCACAATGTAGAAACACCCATTCATCTGCTT